TGGTAGCGCCGTACTGGCCCACCCGGACCTGGTTCTCCGAACTTGTACTCCTCGCGACAGCACCTCCTTGGCCCATACCTCTGAGGAAGGACCTACTTTCTCAGGGACGGGGCACCCTATGGCACCCTCGTCCCGATCTTTGGAACCTCCATGTGTGGCTCCTGGACGGGACGAGGCAGGTTTGAGTACCCTACCACCAGCGGTGGTGGCTACCATCACTTCCGCTAGAGCGTCGTCCACGAGACACGTCTACGCGTTGAAGTGGAACCTCTTCGTCAACTGGTGCTCTTCTCACCGAGAAGACCCCCGGAGATGTTCGATCAACGTCGTGCTTTCCTTCCTTCAAGAGGGGTTGGAGCGAAGGCTGTCTCCCTCCACCCTCAAGGTCTATGTCGCCGCTATTGCCGCACAGCATGATCTTATAGAAGGTAAGTCCGTGGGGAAGCATGACCTGATCGTTAGGTTCCTGAGAGGAGCGAGGAGACTGAATCCTCCTCGCCCTCCTCTCGTACCCTCTTGGGACCTCGCAGTGGTCTTAACCGCCCTGCGTAGTGCTCCCTTTGAGCCTTTACAGTCAGTCGAGCTTAACTTCCTGTCAATGAAGACGGCGCTTCTGACTGCATTGGCCTCCATCAAGAGGGTAGGGGACCTGCACGCATTCTCCGTTGACGAAGCGTGCCTGGAATTCGGGCCGGCGTACTCTCACGTGATCCTGAGACCCCGGCCTGGATATGTGCCCAAGGTTCCTACCACTCCCTTCCGGGACCAGGTGGTGAACCTGCAAGCGCTGCCCCCGGAGGAGGCAGACCCAGCCTTGGCACTGCTCTGTCCAGTACGTGCTCTTCGCATCTATGTAGACAGAACGCAGTGTTTCAGGACCTCAGACCAGCTCTTTGTCTGTTATGGTGGGAAGCTGAAGGGAAAGGCTCTCTCCAAGCAAAGGTTGTCTCACTGGATAGTGGACGCCATTGCTTTGGCATACCAGCAGCAAGGTCGACCGTGCCCCCTTGGTGTGACTGCCCACTCCACCCGGAGTGTGGCATCCTCTTGGGCTCTAGCGCATGGCGCCTCGCTAACAGACATCTGCAGAGCTGCAGGCTGGGCGACACCTAACACATTCGCCAGATTCTACAATCTCCGAGTGGAGCCTGTGTCCTCTCATGTACTCGCTTCAACCAGCTAGTACCGGACCCGCTCAGGTGTCTTCGCTTGCTCGCCATTCCACTCTACGGACTGGATAAGTGCGATATTCTCCTCAGGTGAGCTTCTCCGAAAGCCCTGAGTTCCTCCAGCACTCCTGACGTCGGCGCCAGTGTCTTTTGCCTGCGCGTCGGCTAGGTGCCTCCCGTGTGCATGGTACCTCCCGGAGCTACCCCCACATGTGTATTCCCACTGTAAGCCTCTCTGAGCATGTGTCTTTCCCTTGGCAAGCCACCTTGCCACCCCTGGGGTTGAAATATTCCACCTGCGGCTGGATACCCCAGTGATTCCCCATATGCATCCCTCGGGTCATATGTGTATTTCTAAGTCCCCCCCTCTGGGTTGGCAGTAATTGCATACTTCCCTAAGACCTGGGATATGCTCCCCAGTGTACCTTGGTATTCCTGTGTTAAATAGGAGTCCTTCGTCCGTGCTAGTCTCACGACAGGGATCTCAGATTTACGCAGGGCACTGGAAGACAGCTGGGAAGGTGGCGTGATTAGACTGGTATCCCCATTCGTCGTCATCCGACGGAACTCGGAGTGACAACGAAAGGGAACGTCTCGGTTACGGATGTAACCCTCGTTCCCTGAGTAGGGAACGGAGACGTTCCGTCTTCCTGCCACTTTCCGCTGTACCGCGGGGATCGCCTGAACTCAGGTTGGCTCCTCAGCGAAGAAACATGCCTATTTGCTGCCAGCGTTCTCCTTATATACTCACGAGGTGAGGCGGAGTTACGCTATGCAAATTCCACAGACCCATGGCATTTCTTTGCCATTGGCTCGTTTTGAAGTATTTGAAGTTGATTGGCTTCTAAGCGAAACCCCCATTCGTCGTCATCCGACGGAACGTCTCCGTTCCCTACTCAGGGAACGAGGGTTACATCCGTAACCGAGACGTTATATGAATATCTGAACATGCAATACATCAAAAGAAAGAACAGAGCCTCAGCTTTTAAGTTTTATTCTAGCTTCATGCATTCTTTTATCTTCAACACTTGAATATGGGTAAGTTTCATAGAAAAAAAGCACTATTTTGAGCAAAAAAGCTGAGAAATTCACGTTGTTATTTTTTTTCAAATGATGTCTGGATTGGATTCAGAACGATGATCAAAACACAGATAAAGTAGATCGAGTCCAACAACACCCCTAGCGTATAACTGAAAAACAGAAGAGCAACTCCACAACCTGCAGACCAACAATGCATATGAAATTGTCACTTTATTTCCTTATTTGGAGGACCAATTTTCTTAGAATGGGTAACTAATTCTTTCAGATTAAATATTTATGCAAAATGTACTTATCAGATTAACTTTTGGTTGATGTTTGGTGGTTGTGCTTTCATGTTTAAATGTATTGATTTAGCTATTTGTGTTTGCTAGGAGCATTTCTATGATGCACCGAGTGGCTAAGGCTGACCAGGCTTGGTGTTTAAAGACTGTAACGTTACAGACTAGAACCTGGTGATGGTATAAGATTTAACAGATAACATATGAGAGAATCATGGGCACAAACATAAAAAAATAAACATAGCTTTGTTGCGATTTGGTATAACTAGATTTTCTGTGTTTCCTAACACTCATTTTGAATTTGTCCAGTCAAATTACTTTACAAAAGTAATATAAAAAAAAAACTTTTTTTTTTACTTAAAATGAGTTTTCAAACCAATTGTTTTAATGATTTGACAGGTAGATGTTTTCTTGCTGTTTAATTTTAGACTCTGCCCACTAATTGGGAAATCTCTGCCCATCACCTGTCCAACATCACAGCCACAAGAAGGGAACACCGATTCTTCCGACTATTTAGTGAGATTTCTCAAGGGGCCTGTCTTAATTTATTCTTAAAGGGTTAGTTCACCCAAAATGAAAATTCTGTCATTAATTACTCACCCTCATGTCGTTCCAAACATGTACTTTATTTAATGAAATCTGAGAGCTTTCTGTCCCTCCATTGACAGTCTACGCAATTACCACTTTCAAGCCCCAGAAAGGTATAAAGGTACATCATTAAAGTACTCCATGCGACTTCAGTGGTTTAACATCAATTTGGTTAAACAACGCAAGTGCTGTGTTTGTAGCAAAAAAATAGTTTAGGAATAAGAGTAGAAGGGTGCGCAAGCATGATCACATCACGCCCATCCTAAAATCTCTTCACTGCCTCCCTGTCCCACTCAGAATTGAATATAAGGTTTCCCTCCTCACCCACCAGTGCATTCATGGACATGCCCCCCTTTACCTACAGGAACTCCTCCAACACCAGAGCTCCTCACGCACTCTCCGGTCACAAACACCCTTTATGTCCCCAGAACCAAGCTCTGTAGCATGGGTGGTAGGGCCTTTTCATCGGCTGCTCCGAGGCTGTGGAATGCCCTCCCTGATCACCTGAGGGCCCCACAGACTACAGATGTTTTTAAACAAAACCTAAAAACGTTTCTTTTTAAAAAAGCTTTTAAATAAATGTATTTTATAGGGACTCCCCCCCACCCCCCACTCCTTTAAAGACCCACTCCGATGAAAATAATGTCTTTCTAGATATTAACATGTTCTTGTGGCATTTTTCTGATGTTAGAGGACATATCTTGAGAAAAATCAGCTCAAAGTTGTATTTCTGAGTATTTCTACATTCAAATGGCTGTGAATCAGTAGCAGACGCTAAAATGCCGGCTAAAATAGACTGGAGTTGTGACGTAGTAACTCCACTGGGCGTCTCCACACGCGACGTCTTGGAGTGAAATAATGATCGGTGATCGGTGATAACTTTGATTAACTTCGGATAATAATAATTAACGTGTATTTAATACTGTTGCCCCACCGGTATTGGGGGTGTAAGCAAGCGGGAGAGACAGAGCTCTCAGCAACGGGCAGGGGGAGGGTCGTGTCCGTGCCAACGGCTCCGCCCACAACGCAGAGGCGAATTGCTAATGAGCTACTGCCGCTCTGCTGAAGCGAAGTCCCAGATAACGGCACAGGTTTTGTGATTTTGGCTAAAAATGGCATAATCATAATTTAAAGACCACTGGGAATGGTTAAAAATAGCTCAAAATATGATCGGAGTGGGACTTTAAACTTATTATTGATTTTGAGTTTTTAATTATATTACTATATGGTCTGTAGCACTTTGAGATTGCTAAAATGTAAAGTGCAATACAAATAAAATGTATTATTATTATTATTTATTTATTATTATTAGAATTATGTAGTTCTAAGAATTTTGACAAACTAAAGACTAAAATGTTACTCTTAGCGGCTTTATACATTCGGCCCCTGATATAGATTTCTCCCAATAAAATTAGTCTGATAAACACAGCGAATTAATTCAGTTAAACTGTTTCATGAATCATGATTCGACTAGTACACAAAATCTGCTCAAAAAAAGTTAATTTTCATGACTTTTTTGGACAAAATTGTTTGTCAAAATATGTAACCATATAGCTAATGTAAGAGCCTAAATGACCTTATTTCATTAATAGATAGCAGCTGTAAAACAAGTATCTATTTCATCTTCTCTCAGTTATGTTTTTCAGAGTCCATATTATGAGAGGAATCGCCTCTTTAAATATACATAGAATTTTTTTCCCCAAAAATAATTAGTGTTTACTACTACTGGTTCATTAGCAATGCTGAATACAATGTTAAACCACTTGATTTAATGAAAACTAAATTAAATCTATTCATTATACCTAAATAAAGCACAAGCTTTAATCATTTTTAATTCTCACATTTTCACAATGTGCAGAGAGTGATTCAATCCAATAAAGTGTACAATATGTAAATAAAATAAACAATAAAGTTCAATATGTTCTCAATGCATTTTGATTTGATGTTTTTTCAGGTTTCCTGACCGAGAAAAACTCTTTCCACAGTGTGAACACTTGTACGGTTTCTCTCCAGTATGAACTCTCTCATGAGCTTTCAGGTGTCCTGACAGAGAGAAACTCTTTCCACAGTGTGAACACTTGTACGGTTTCTCTCCAGTATGAACTCTCTCATGAGCTTTCAGGTGTCCTGACTGAGAGAAACTCTTTCCACAGTGTGAACACTTGTACGGTTTCTCTCCAGTGTGAACTCTCTCGTGTGATTTTAAGTTGTTGGATGAAGTGAAGGTCTTTCCACAGTCAAAGCACACATAAGGTCTCACACCAGTATGAATACGCTCATGCTCTTTTAAAGATCCGAGATGTGAAAAACTCTTTCCACATACAGAACAAACGTGAGGCTTCACAGCAGCATGAACATTAAGGTGTTCTCTTAAGCCTGATTTTAAAACAAATGTTTTATCACACTGATCACAGCTGAATGATCTCACTCCAGAGTGACGGCGCAGATGACATTTGAGAGCGCCTTTCTGAGTGAAACTCATTCCACACTGAGAGCAAGTGAACGGTTTTTCTCCAGTGTGAATCATCATGTGTCTGTTCAGGGTTGATTTATATATGAAACTCTTTCCACACTGAAAACAGGTTAAAAATCCTTCGACTCCAGATTTTCCAGCTTGTTTCTGTATGAAATTATCTTCAGTCTTTGAAACGACTGCATTTCCATCTTCATTTTTGAAATAATGAGGTTTTTGAAACTGATGCAGTTTGTCTTCATTCACTTCCATCAGATCTAAAATAAACAAATTCCCATGATTAAATAAAAGGATACATGAGAACAGGGGCGTAGCAGCCATTATAAAAGTGGGGGGGACAAAATGGTGTGGAGTTTTTTTGTGATTGTTTCGGGCAAAAATCCTTGATTATGCGGCGATTGAATATGCAGGATATTTGCAATTTTATGTGATGAAATTGCGGGAACTTGCAAAAACTGCGGTTTGATGAAAAAGAGAGAAAAAGTGATTCCCCAACACCCTGTTCTCACTAGGCTACTATCTTAATGTAAAGAGCTATTTCTTATTACTTCCTATGATAAGCAAACATACTACATCACAGAAAGCGCTGGAATATTTAATCTTGTTTTATTTCAGACCTTAATAAACACATGGCTCAAACTTACAAAACATTGATGAGTCAAACAAGTTCTGTAGCTTTACAAAAGGAATATGCTACAACTTCTAAATGTAAAAATGAATAAATAAAATATGAAAAAAATGTTTCCTGTTTTACAGCTTTTTTTCTTCTTTTTTTCTCTCAATGATGTTCATGTCGCGTAATTACGTCACTTCATAACGTTCCCATGGCAACAGGGGGAAATGGCTGCTCTCGTGTGAAGCAAACGCAACATTTTTCAACTTTCTCCTAAGATATATGTGACTTTTTTTGCAACAAAAATATGGAGATTATGAAATCATACAAGCCCCGCATATTTTGCGTGGAAATCGGCAATTTATACGGCAAAAGTGCGGCGTATTTGAAAAAAATGCCCCGGCATAAATATGCGGACTTTGGCTGATTATTGAATCATGCGATCGCATAATCGCGTTTTTCTGGAGGGACTGAAAGGTGATGTTCATAATAATAAATTCTAGATAGAATAGCAATTGGCATTTTACAGCACCCTAGTGCCAATTTTGGGAACATGCCATGATAGTTTACAGTAACCTATTTTTGTGAAATCATACTCGAAATAAAAAAATATTGCAGGACTTGGGACTTTCAGACAACTGTGGACATCTATACTTTATTTTTATTAAATAAAGATATTTTATGATATTTACAATATTTCAGTTAAACTACACTTGAACAATAACTTTTATCTTACTTCTTAACAGTTGGACCAAAAAAAAGTGTTCAATGAGTACAGAACAGATTACATCTAGCCTACAGTAATTTTATACAACAGACATTTTATAAAAATATATCAATACAACCTAAATCAATGTATTCGGTATTGGACATCAATTTAACATTGACATTAGATGTTGAATTTACATTGAATTTTGGTCACCCGACGTCGCAACCAAAATTTAACCAAATATCAATGTCTTATGACGTTGTGTGCCTGCTGGGAATAATCTGTTATGTCTCATTTAACAGACGCTTTTATCCAAAGCAACAAGTAGGAGAGCATTTAACACACACACTCGGGAAAATCCGGCGCGACGTGACGAGGTCCATACGGGTTCTGTTGTCTTACACTTCTTACAGCGTTACAGTAGGTTAAAACATAACAAGGAAACTTAACGTGTGATTCATGTCATCGCGACATACTCTAACACATTATACTTACAGTGTGTGTCAAAAAAATGATGTCCTCTGCTTTTTTTCTGGGGTGCATTAGACGGCAAAACAGCAAAGCGACTAAACAAACACGAAAATTCGCAAGAGCAACAAAAGATTTGAAGCTCATGGCAGACGCGCCCAATAGGTGATTCGCGCTGTGAATGGCTGAATGTTACCTCACTCAAGTCTAAGTAACAAATCAGAGAACACGGGCGGAAATATTGAGTCAAAAAAAAAAAAATGCGGGGGACAGAATCACCTGTTTCTAAAAGTGGGGGGGACGTGTCCCCCCCGTCCCCCCCCCGGTTGCTACGCCCCTGCATGAGAAACAAAAATGAGCATTATTCAAAATCTCAATTTGGCACAAATCCAGTTTACTCCTGAGTCTACCAGGGTTTCCGTTGTCCGGTAATTACCGGACATTGGCCGGGAAAAAAATGAAATGTCCGACAAAATTAAATCTCTCCGGTCAAATTGTCCGATTAAAATTTCGTAATAATCCCGCCCCCCTCACACAATATGAATTTGAGAATAAGCCTAAAATGTATAAAGCAAAAATACACCGACCTTTGGCTTAAAGGAACAGGCTCTACCGTTCGTTTGAAAGTTATTAAACAACATCGCATGCTGCATTTCAAATAAAGCGCGTAATATAGACCTAAACAACGAACGATTGAGTGAGACGTTTCAAATATGGCCAGGTCCATTGATATTATTGATAAAGTTGATAAAGTTGACGATGCAGACTCGCCATCTTCGCAGTAGTGAACGCGCGCGCCTATAGAGAGAAGTGTGCACGCGCCGACGCCTCCGTGTCCTGATTAGCCTATATTGTCCACAATATTTGCTTCTTATTTAATAATCCAGGCAAATTTGTTGATGAAACATTGATTAAAATTAATAAACAATTTATACAAAACGAAATTTTCAAGCAAAAATAATATTCGAAGATCGCTGGGTTGATTATTATTCGAAAATCGCACCCCTCCACCACATGCACGCAGACATGCATTAGACTACACACCAGAGCATGTGAGCAAAGCGGAGCGGTGTGACGCTTATTATAAGTTAAAAAACTTAAATATACGTTTCATTTTTATAAATAATATAATGTTATTATTTTTTTATTTCATCTGTTGATTAGGCTATATGAAAAGGGAACCGCATCATGAGATGAGTAAGATAGGATCATAAGATGACCAATAGGCCTATATCGGAAAACATTTGGAATTGGTCAGACATGATTTTGACCACTTATTTAGTTTTGTTTTGTAGAAAGCCTTTCTTTTAAGTTTATTTCGTTTTGTAAAAATTGTATCTTCATTTTAATCAATGTTTCATCAACAAATTTGCCTGGATTAAAAAATAAGAATTTATTCATATGAAGTGTGCATTTCTGGCGCGTTCACTACTGCGAAGATGGCGAGCATGCATCGTCAACTTTATCAATTTATCAACAATTTAAATGTTTCAATCATTACTTTCGCCGGTTCTTTGTGGCAAGCTTTATTTCAGGTGTTGCGTGATATCTCTGCGCCCAAGTAGCAGTGCTTCGCCTGTGTAGAGTCTCGCAACGGCGATAGATTGAAACGCGCGTCCGAGTGAAGATTGCGCAACTCGCGCAGCGCGTCGTCCATGCAACTGATAGCAGCGGACACGAGCGCTCAGCTTGATTTAAAAAACAACTGATTTTAGCGCTAGATCTCTTATTTAATAGCGAACTAAATTAATGATCTGCTAGTTAAATGGAGATGTTAACTAGTTAGCTAGTTATTTATTTGTATTAGGTACATCCGTGCCTCAATGTTTCAAAAAGTGAATGTGTGTGTAAAAAACAATTGGTGTTAATTGACGCCAATCGGACGTTCATGTTTTTTTCCGTCTATTTAAAAGTTGGGCTAATAATAACATATTGCATTCTATACGGCCTGATTATGTCATTTTTAAGTTACATAGCCTGTCTCCAGTTTTCCTCAACTTGACTAATTAATTTAAGAGGCGATATTTGACCGGCATATCATCAAAATGTCCGTTAAACGAAAACTCTGCCGGTCACTTTGACCGGCACCATTTTTTTCTAGCGGAAACTCTGGAGTCTACTAGTATCTAGTAGACTTGTAGTCGAGACCGCCTAAACCGAGACCAAGACACTACCAAGACCAGATGGTATCGAGACCAAGACAAGACCAAGACCAAGACCAAGACAGACCAAGTCGAGACCAAGACCAAGTCGAGACTAAGACCGAGACCAAGTCGAGACCGGAGGGGAAAAAAACATTAGTGTTGAAGCTAAGCAATAACTTGTCAAATGTTGTTTTGCATTTGCCTGCCTATCTCTGCTGATTTCGAAGTCTCCAAATTAATCCATTCTGCAACTTTTAAATACATAATTATATTTTTAAAAACGAAATTATAGGCTTAAGTGCAGGATCCGAACGTTGGTCGTTTTTGTCGCTATGGTTACACACACACACACACACACACACACAGTGGCGGCCTTAAGCATCTGGGGGCCCGTTTCAATAACTAATATGGGGCCCTACCCACATAAAACATAAACATAATAGAGCAGAAAAAGCTAGGATTCCTGTTGGTTTCCATCAATGGTATATTATTTTATTACGTGCACTTTCAGCTTCATGAACAGGCAGCTGAACATAGAAATAATCCAACCTTATTTGATTAAAACTATACAATTATACAGCGTTTTACGTTGGAATAAGCCTCGCCCTTTCACGCAGGGTAACTTCACTTTTGGTAGACTGAATCAAGCTTTTCTTTTGTTGTCTGATATCTTTCGTTTTTTAGCACCACTGGCATATGTACGTTTCATTTCCTCTTAAAATTATTTTTCTGCTCAAAATAACATTTTAACCTAACGGCAAAAAGGCAAAGGTGTAAATACATAAACTACCGATATTATGCTTCAGATCGCTAAAGCCGTTCGCGGGAGTGGTAAACGTCGCCATGGTAACCGCGAGTTCGACCAATCAGAGACGTCAGTGTTTTGCAAATAACAAGGTTGATTTCGTAGCTTGTGGCTTTTAAAGGAGCAGAAACTTTCATTTCACAACCTCGTAGCTCGTGGTCAATCTACCTTGAATGGTTTAGACATTATGGCTGAAAATCAATATCCTACGGAGAAAATGAATGGGATTTTGCTGGTCTGTTAAGGCCCCCTTGGAGGGCGGGGCCCGTTTCAATTGAAACGGGTGAAACATAGGTAAGGCCGCCCCTGCACACACACACCGTTGGCGGTGCGCTCAAAGTCATCTGTCAGTTGTGCAGTTACCCAAAATCTCCTGAATGAAGGTAAAACCCATCATGTCACTGATATGTGTTTTACTAAATATCAATATATCAAAAACTGTACATGATATGTGTTTTTTAAATCAAGTGATCAAAGTGCTCGTTGCCACTGCGATCAGTGGCGCGGATACAGTGTTTTCTTGCGTGGCTCGCGCGCACCGCACTGTCTTCACTCGGATGCGCGCTTCAATACGTTGCGGATATCGTCGTGGATATTGTAGTATTGTATTGCTCAATCCCCTGACCACTATGTCGGTCTGAGACAGCGAGACCTAGACAAGACCGGGAGGTCCGAGACCAAGACAAGACCGAGACCAAAGACCGTCAAGGCCGTGACAAGACCAAGACCACGTAAAAGTGGTCTCGAGACATACATCACTAGTATCTAGTTTTTATTGTTATATGTCAGTTTTCATCTTAATGTTCCTCATCAGTCATTAAAGAGAATGAACTAGGAAAACACCAACCTATTTGTTCCTCTGTATCTTCATCTTTTATTCTGCAGGGTTCTTCCTTTATCTCCATCTTTACAATAGTATGTCCGTAGTTTCTCCTGGAGTAATTCCTCCTGCTTGCTTCTTCTTCTCCTGTGGGAAGATGGGAATATTCCCCAGCATTTAAACTCTCATGAACGGCTGTGGGAGCTTCACTGACTGAAGGAGTGAATTGTGGTCGTTGTTGCTCATTTAGCAGATGATCATCACACTTACAATCACTCGAGATTATCCAGCTTTAAATGTTTTGCTCTAATAGCCATTTAGAAACAATTGAAGGCAAACTTTTGTGTCACAAAAAAAATGTGCATACATTTTTAGCAGCACAGTTAGAAAAATAATGTAAAATGTTGTGCTACAATTTGTGTTTCCCCTAGGACTGCTAGTGTTGCGGAGCGGACGTGTTACGGATACGTGGTGTATTTTTTTATTTTTATTTAATTGAAATCATGGATTATGAATTATTAAACTTGTACAACTTTTTTTTTATAAGTGAAAAAAAAAAATTCAGACAAATTCTGTGTTGTGTTTTTTCTGGTAATAAAATGAAGACAAAACACAAATTTTATCATTTATCATCAATTTTAATCATATGAAATTAAATACACTTTTTGTCAAATAACTTGCTGCAAAATGAGCTTTAGCCTACTGTTAAAATTAAAACTTTATTATTCCTTTAATTTACAATTCCTTAAATTTCAGTTTTGATGATAATTTATTTGGATTAGTGTTAGTGTATTATTATTACATTGGGACATATCTAAATTCTAATGTACAACAGTAATATATTTCTGTCAAGTTAAACCGAACTTTTATTTTGACGGGTTGCCGTGAAGACCTTTTGAGTTTCTGTGTGTAGGGGAAACACTAAGTTTACACCAGGTTTAATTTATTAATTACAAAACACAACTCAAAATCTTTACACTTTGTCAGTTAACTAGTCAGTGATGCGCTTATGGTTTGTTATATTTAACGTTACAACATTGGCGAAAATTATAGCTAAAGTGTAGTAACTAATCATTGGCTTTTGGCAGATTGATTACTGTTTAGCTATATAACCAGTTTTACCTGCAAATACAACGGTTAAACTATGGTAATGGGTTTAACTAAATAACCATGTTTTTTCCCATTTATTTTAGTAAACCCATACTTAATTTTCGTAAGGATTTACTTCTGAAAAGTGCCTCAACTTCGGATTCAAGATCTGATTCGGATTAATTCAGCAAACAATCCGGCTGTTTAGATTCACTAAAATGAACCGAATCTTTAATAGTCATGTAGATTTTTCCAATTCAATTATAAAATGAATGTACTCACAGTCTGTAAAACAGCAGATTTAGAGCTGAATGAACGGCTGTGTTCCACTTCTCATGTTTATGTTCCCTTCCCTCGCTCACTTCTCTTCTTCTGCTAGACTCAGATGTGTGTCATTGCTTCGGTTGCTCGAGCGCCTCTACTGGCGGAAACCATATTAAACTCTGTTAAACTCCCAGATATAAAACAACCACGATAATCTCTTGGTTGATGTATACATTTGTTTATATAGCTCCCAAACATGTTTGATCCGAATAAGTAAATATTGATTTAGAAATAGCATCTTATAGGGGACACAGCTGTTCACTTTCACCATAATAGATCATTTTGAGATTCAAACTTCAAATCCGCTAAGGAGTTTGTAATTATATTTACCCTCTTGACTCTGAGTTACTGATGTTGTTTATTTTAATATAAATCTTGACTTCATTTTCAAATTAGATGGTACAAGAATTATAAAGTCCTCAGCCACAATAAAAAGATGAAATGAAAAATACAACGCATGGAACATGGGAGACAAAGTCAAAATGAGGAACTTTACAAAAGAATATACAGCTTACAGATCAAGAATCATAAGAAAACACTCTCAATACAAAACAAACAGCATCTTTCTTCCACATCAGCATCCACGCCGTATTTTAAAGGACGCTTTTCTTTCGTCCACCAATCCTTTGGGAACACGTTCAATGAAGGCAGAGCGTCTCTGGTTACTCAAGTAACCGTAGTTCCCTGAGAGGAGGGAACGAGACATTACGTATGGGGAAATCCATTTTCCTCGAAATGCTGAAGCCCGATTTGAATAACTCCTTTGCTTGCAAATAGCCAATAGCGCCCGCGCCCTCACCTGATTGGCTGACAGTCCTCAGTATAGGTGATGCAGGGCGCCAAAAACCTCAGAATCTTTCGACTGAACGAGAGCAATGATGCTGAAGGCTTTTCACACGGCAGTTTACGTAATGTCTCATTCCCTCCTGTCAGGGAACTACGGTTACGTGAGTAACCAGAGACGTTCCCTTATCGAGTCGGTCCCTCGACATTACGTATGAGAAACATATAAAACACCCGCCGTGTGGAAATACTAGCCGGCCCAACTAACTGTAAGCACAAGCACTAGCCTCAGACATGCGCTTTAGCTTCAGGTCGGGTCCAGGACCTGGTTGAAACACCGATGCACTCTTGGCACAGAGCCAACTCGGCGCCCACACCATCAGTATCTCCCCTTACTCAGTTAAGCAACACTGAACTGGTGTGATATGGGGGAAAATGCAGCAATATGTTGGTGCTTGAGAATACTGCCGGCTTATGAATGCGGGCATAATAAAAAAGGCCACAATTAGAGTTAATGTGATTATTATCAAAGGTAACTCACTGCCTATACGACCTGGTTGAAACCATGGTTAGAAAAACGCGCCAGACGGGGCGTGTCCTCAGACGACTTGTACAATGCCCTGCTCGGATCGAAAGCAGTACCCGATCCGCCCACAAGAGCATCTGCCTCGCTAAGCCCTGCAGGGATCGCGAGCGCAGCCCTCCCTGGCGATTGATGTACGCCACCACCACTGTGTTGTCCGTTCTGATGAGAACATGGCGGTCTTTCACAAACGGGAGGAAACTCTGCAGACCTAATCGAATCGCTTCCATTTCCAAGCAATTTATATGCCAGCGCTTCTGGTCCCCTGTCCACGTACCGAACGCTGGTCTGCCATCGCAGAGGGCTCCCCAGCCTGATAGTGATGGACCACTACCCGTCTGACCACTCTGCCCATAGCAGCTCCCTGTTCGTACATTGTCGTGCCGGACCAAGGCGCCAGAGTCTCGAGACACGAACGCCTTATGATGATGTGTTCCGTTCCCGCTCTCCTCGCCTGCGGCTGCACCCGGCTTTGCAACCAGTGCTGCAGCGGTCTCATGTGCAGCAAGCCCAGTCTGCAGACGGAGGCTGCAGCTGCCATCAGACCCAGTAGCCTCTGAAACGTTTTTAAGGGAATAGCTCTGCCTTGAACGAAGAGGGCTAGTGTATTGTGAATAGACTGGATCCTCGGTTCTGATAAGCGTGTGATCATTGTGCGCGAGTCCAGCACCATACCCAGGAATGTGATCGACTGGCACGCCTGAAGCATGCTCTTCTGTATGTTCACAGACAGTCCCGGGCATGTCAGGTGGGCGTGGAGTCTGCGTACCTCGAGAGCGCCTCTCGATTGAGCGATGACTAGCCAGTCGTCAAGATAGTTCAGTATGCGCATACCACAGAGCTTCAGGGGTGCGAGCACTGCATTCATGCACATTGTGAACACGCGGGGGGCCAAAGCCAGCCCGAACGGCAACACTTTGAATTGGTATGGGACGCCTTCGAATGCAAAACGCAGAAAGCGCCTGTGATGCGGGGCTATCTGAATGTGAAAATACGCATCCTTCAGGACATCTGCAATGAAGTAGTCCTCGGGCTGAATATGCGCGAGGATTTGAGTAATCATCTTGAACGCGCGTTTCACGAGCGCTTTGTTCACTAATCTGACCCAGGATGGGGCGCATACCTCCGTCCTTTTTCAGGGCATCTTTGACTGTTTCAAGGTCTCGGCGTACTTCTCCAAGAAGGCCTCGACCGCAATGTCAAAAAGACCCAGTGGGCTTCTTCTCAGCATCGCGCATCTCGGTCAGCGTCAGCCACAGATGGCGGTGCAGAACCACGAGGCTGCCCATGTAACGGCCGATTCCCTGGGCGACCTTCTTAGAGGCGCCCAGAGTCAGATCTGCGGCCGTGAGCAGCTTCCTGAGGGACTCGGGGTCCGAGCCATCCTTGTCCAGGTACCCCAAGAGTCGAGTTTGGAAGACCTGCAGAATTGCCATCGTGTGGAGGGCAGATGCTGCATGTCCAGCCGAAATATATGCCTTTTCGGCAATGTGGCCAGTGGCTCTACATGGCCTGAAAGGCAATGAGGCGGTTTTCCATCCAGGAGACGGACGGCGTCCGCCTGGCAGCCTGCGCTGAGGAAGGAACCGTCCATCCACTTCCTAGACGGCTGTTCTTTGGGGGCTGCCCAATCCTGCTCCAGGTCAGCTACTGCCTCCGTGAGAATAGCCATGAGCTCCGCGTCCAGCAAGGCCGGGGTGGCTCCTGATGGAGCCTCAGACCACGCTCCCAGGTCGGAGGCACTTGTGGACATGGTGTCGTCTTCACCATACCCGAACGAGACCATTTTCCGCGCTTCCTTCGGGGGGCGGTAACTGGTCTCAGGGTAGGTGACAAGTTCTGACACGTGAGGGTGGCATGGGTGTTCGTCAGAGTCCATTGATGGAGTTTTCTGCAGTCTCCCGGTCCGCAGCTCGACGGCGGCGGGCGGGGGAGAGGCAGGAGTCAGATCTGCGGCCGTGAGCAGCTTCCTGAGGGACTCGGGGTCCGAGCCATCCTTGTCCAGGTACCCCAAGAGTCGAGTTTGGAAGACCTGCAGAATTGCCATCGTGTGGAGGGCAGATGCTGCATGTCCAGCCGAAATATATGCCTTTTCGGCAATGTGGCCAGTGGCTCTACATGGCCTGAAAGGCAATGAGGCGGTTTTCCATCCAGGAGACGGACGGCGTCCTCGACGGGAGGCGGTCGCGTGTAACCTAATTTCTCCACGCCTTCCACTGTCGTCAGTAGCTGGGTACCCTGCGCATGGGCTCGGGCCGAGTGAGGGGAGCGCTATGACCGGGTGAGCTCCTCATGGAGCTCAGGAAAAAAGGGCGCGGGTTCATAATTCAATTCAATTCAATTCAAATTTATTTACCAACCATCTAAACCAAAAACCTTGAATTTGTATGCTTTGTAAATATAGAAGTCTGCACAATAATACATACTTAACTTTTTCCCCGCCAGCGTTTTTTTATTATTAATTTTTTTACATTGCCAGCCAGCATTTTTGGCCATTTAAAAAAA